GGGGTTGGGGACACGACAACAGCTGTTCCTCAGAAGCAGGCACTGCTCATAGGGCAGACCAGTCACAGCTTTATTAGTGACAGAGGGATCCCAGTTCAGCCAGGGAGTTCCTCAATGAGAATTCTTGGAGCAGGTGGCAGGGAGCCTCCCCAAAGCCGCTCCAACTCGCCGGTGAGGGCTGCCACCTCCTCAGCCACCACAGCGTGGGCTCGATGGGCCCGGGCACAGTCCAGAGCCAGGGGTGTGAGCGCCAGCTCATTTTCATTGGTCCAAGCCAGTAGGAACTGGCACTTCTTCCGCGCCCGGTAGAGGCGATCTCGCTCTTCCGTGGCCACAGCTTGCTTCCGGGCCCGGCCCAGCGTCCGCGCCAGGTGCCCCAGTGCTGCCAGCGTGTAGCCTTTCTGGTCGGCCGGGCCTTCGCCCATTAGGATGCGGGCAGCTTCGCGCATGGCACCCCGTGTGCCCAGGGGCCCAGGCGGATGCTCGCCTGCTTCGAGCACCTGGGCGGCGGCCTGCAGGGCTTCCTCGGCAGAGGCGAAGACCTGCTGCGCGCCCAGGGCTCCGGAAACGCCGAGCAGCGTGGCACAGAAGTCGGAGAGCAGCGCATCGTCGCCGCCGTGATACAAGGCAAGAGTGTGCGCGTAGGAGAACAGCACGTTGGGCAGCTGGAAGCGCACGAGCGGCGAGGCCGGGCTGCGGCTCAGGCTGGCCAGCGTGGGGATACGGGTGGGCACGGCGGGCGCGCGGGCCTCGGGAGCGTCTTCGAGAAACGGCTCGGCGGCGGCCTCCTTCACGGGTTCCGGTGACGTCCTCGCGGGGGTGGGCTCCAGCTCCGCAGGGTCATGGTCCGCAGCATCATCCACCTCCTCCAGAAGCCGCCGCGACCCGGCCCCGCGGCCCCACCACCACGGCCGCCACGGGGGCAGCAGCCGCCCGGCCTCGCCACGGCTCAGCAGCCGCTCGAAGGCCGCCTTCTCGGCGGGGGCCAGCAGCTCCCAGAGCCTGGTGAAGCCGCCTGGCGCCGGGCCAGGCCTGAGGCCGGCGTCCTCGGGGTCGTCCTCGGGGTCGTCCTCGGTCTCGCGTTGCTCTCGCAGCCGCCGTAGGGCGCTGGCCAGGCGGCTGGGCGAGGCGCTGCGGCCGCGGAGCTCTCCCAGCACCTGGTCCCGGTAGAAGGCTTCGGCGCAGGTGCCATGCGCCCGGTAGCAGCGCAGCGAGCAGTAGGGCACATTACAGCGAGGGCAGGTGTAGCGCGCGGGCTGGGCCTCCCCGGCCGGGCAAAAACCACAGGGCCCGGCCGGCTCCATGGCAACTGGCGCCCCGCGCCACTTGAGAACGCTCACAGGCAGCGCTGGGCAACTTCCGGTGCTAATCGGTTACTTCCGCCTCCTTGCGAGGCCAACGGAGCGTACTCAAAGCTCCCGAGGACTCTCGGCAACTTCCGCCCACACTCGGAAGCCAAGCCCCACCCCTCTGTCAAATGGCGCTTGAGCAGGCGCAGGAGCGGGTCGGGACGCACAGGCCCCGCCCTGCGCGGTGAGCGAGGGAGGGCGAGTGCACCAGGCCGGTGCTCCGCTGGTACCAGCTCGCCCCCTAGTGGTTCCCTTTTTAGCACGATAGAGCCTCCTGGCGGAAATCGATCTTTGAGAAGCACCTACTCTAGGCCCCTAATTGCGCCAGGCCCATGGGGGATGAGATGCATCCCTGCACTGGAAGGGCAGTCATTCTACTAGGGGACACAGACAAAGGGGAGTGTAGGAAAAGGGTGAAGATGGACTACTTGGCCTAGTCTCTGTTTATGTGTGTGTTGGAGCATTTCCCCTCTTGAGAAGAAAGCAACGTTTAACAGATATGTTATAATATAACAGATATTATTTCCCCTCCAAATCTATGGTTCATCCAACTTTAAGGTGAAGAATCCATACTAGGTGCCAAAACACATCGAGAAGCAAAGAGATGGGATCCCTGTCCTAATGAGCTTGGTTTGTGGTAGAGTGGGGTGATAACCCACACACAGCATGCCAAGGGCCCCAAGGACTTGATCCATGGCACCCACACTGGTTCTTTAGACCCACCCCCAGTAAGTTTCGCTTTCACAATACCTTGTATTTATATCCGTATGGATCATCTACTTCCCTATCAAGATCTGGATGGATTTGATGACCTTTTAAGTCCGCTCATTTTTTACATCCCCATTACTACCGGTAGTCTCAGCTACTAGTCCCTTAACTGGTTCCCTTTCTTGCCAGTTGTCCAGAAAAACCAGCCAGAGAAAGCACTGGATCACAAGTCAGATCACATCAGGCCCTTGCTTAAACCCTTCCTTGTACTTGGTGACCCTCCACTGCACTTGGACTCAAACCTAAACTCCTGTCCAGGTTTGACAAAACCACACAGCTCTGCACACAGTTCTCTGGGCTGGACCTCTTTCGTCATCTATTTGATAGGCTTCAGGCTTCACACATCCCATTTTTAGAGACCTTCCCTAGGATATTATGTCCACCCCCAACCACCCCTCTTTCATTACAACACCCTGCTTACTTTCTTTGAAGCTCTAACACTTAACTAGCTTCTGCACTTAAACCACAAGAATCGAAACACCTAGAAAGGAGGTGACCGTCATTTTCTTAAAAGATTACTAGAGATAAAAATAGCCTGTATGTTTGCACACTATGTGGCAGGTGCTGATTTAAGAACTTCACATCCTTTATTTATTCTTCACAGCAACTCTCAAAAACATGATGGCAGAAATTAAATAATTTGAAGGTTGGAAGTGAGAAAATAAATGAAGCAAGAATTCAAACTTAAAAGGCAGTCCAAGTCTAGATCCAAGGTCTTTACTTCATGTTATACTGTTTTCCAAGAACCAGCAGGTTCAAAAACCTTCGCAAAACGAGTGGGTACCCATGTTGCCAGGGGAATCTCGAATCAGTCCCAGAGAATTCCATTCCTAGGAACACTCAATCAACCAACCCACCAACCTGAGCTACGATTAGGTTAAGGTACAAACAAGGTTACCACAGTGCCAATGTAATCAGGCAATGCTTTCTGTAGGGCCACTTTTAGGCAACAGGCTTGGGCAATGGAAGACCGAGTAAGGTAGAAGGGCCCATAGCAACCACCCGGCTGAATGCAAACAGGTCCATCAGGAAACCCACCTCAGAACAGCCGTAAGCCCTTGCTGACCAATGGGCTGCTTACAACCAGGCACAGGAACTAAAAAAAAGTAAAGTTCCACATGTTCCCCTACCTCCTCCCCCTCCCCCTTAACTACAGGCCCCCCACCACTGCCTCCTGGCAGACAGTCTCTCCTCTGCTCCCTTGCAGTGTATTCAATAAACTTCCATCTCCTCTGTTCTGCCTTGGGTGAATTCTTTCAGGGCCAGCACTGCTGACCTCCCAATAGGGTCGCCCCACTTTCCAGAGTAGGGACATACTAGACCCCTGCCCTGGACTCCACTAAGGCCATAGCTGGTCCCAAGTTCAGGAAAGGTCCGACTGGCCTTCCCTGATACATCTTCTATTCACACTTCTCTACTGATGCCTACCGATCCTCCCAAAGAGATTTCTCATCTTCTCTGTTTAAAGAACAAGAACAAGGCGCCAGGGTGGCTTATTCGGTTAAAGGTCTGACTCTTGGGTTTCAGCTCAGATCTTTGAGCTGGAGCCCTGTGTGGAACCCCACGCTCAGTGGAGGGCCTGCAAAGATTCTCTTCCTCTGCCCCTCCCCCACTCTCTCTCAAATAAATAAATCTTAAAAAAAAAAAAGGAACAAAAACAAAAAAGGATTTGGGAGAATTATCAAGTTATTTGGAGTGGGAAATTTCCCCAACTCTCCATCTGAAGAGTTACCATCTGGGGTTACCAATTTTCATAGTAAGCCTTTTCTTGTAGTTTACCACGCCTTCCCCATCCCAGCTGAGGGCCCCTGCCTCTTCCAACCTGACTGTGTCAAGAAACCAGAACCAGGCCTCACTGTTCTAATGAACACACCACCAGCCCTAGAAGCTGTGTATCTTCCCGAGGCCCTGCACGTGAAGATGAAACAGTGAGATGACTGAACTACGTGGCTTTATTGGGGAGAGCCAGGATTACAATGGACTTAAGAGTTGGCATTGGGGCCCTTCTTCTTGCCAAAAGTGGGCACAACGTTGACAAAGCGCCGGTTGTACTGCATCCGCCGTTTGGCTCGGCCTGTCTTCTTCTTCTTTTTCTCCTGTTTGGCCACCTGGGAAAAGGGAGGGATGGTAAGACCTTCCACGCCTTCCCTCAGTCTTAACTCCAGGCAGGGAGAAGGCGAACAGAGGAAAGACCAAAGGTCTTGGCTTAGCTTAAAAACAAACAAAACAAAACAAAACCCGCACACAGAAAAACAAAAACCCAAAGTCTAAACACCACCACTAATACTCTCACCTACCTTGGGAGTCTGCCCTCTTACTTTCCCAGCACGGGCCAGAGAGCCATGGACTTTACCTGCGGTGGGAAAGGAGGTCAGAAGACAGCAGAGCAAGAAGGCCCCACCCAGTAGAATCCCTTCTCCCTCAACTCAAGCCTTTGAAGATAAACAGGGACCAACAGGGAATGAGAACAAAGTTACAGAGATATGACCTCTGACCCAAGAGTGTTTATTTAGTATGGTATGTTCCAGGGTTTCACTTCAGGATTTTCCAGCCCCTGACTTTAAACAAGAAAGAAGAGTACCCTGGAGAATATAATCTAGTCTGGCTTGATCTTAGTGACCAAACAAGGGACTAGTAAATAACTGAAACCGAACGACGCTGTGGCTCAGTCTCCCATGGACCTCTTAATGAACAAGGTAAGCAGGAAGAACCACCCTGGGTTGAGGACACTGAACTTCACACCCCACCCTCATTATGAGTTTACAAACATTTCAAAGAACAATGCTCCCCAACTCACCTCCGAGCATGCGGCCGGCTACTTCCAAGGTGGTCAGAGCCTCCACTCCACATTGACCTAGGGTAGCCTCATCCTCCAGGGGCGTGCCTGCCAGGAGCACGACTTGATCTTCTGGCGCGATGCCCTCCAGGGAGGCTACATGAGCCTCGGGGAAAAATAAGACTCATCAGCGTTTCCGCGGGGAGGTGGAGACTGAAGAACACAAGAGGACGGGGCCCAGGAAGCACCACGCAGCCTTACCTTGATCTGGGCGACCGTCTCCTGGCCGGTCACCTCGAGGGTGTGTAGCTCCTGGGCGCGGACAAAGAGCTGCATGTCGGCGACTGAAGAAAGAGAGACTCGTAAGAGAAGAATGCTCTGGGAGAGAGGAGGGTCGGGGGAAGGTAGCGGACCGGCACCGATCGCGCTGGGATACAGGTGGTCGTGGGATCTCACGTGGGTTAAGGCCGGGCCTGCTGGGGGGGGTTGGCTGGGGACCGGGAGCTGGCCCTCAGAACACATCCTCTCCCTCTATTTTTCCCGCGCTCTCTGGCTTCGCGGCCAACCTGCTAATAGGCCCTCCAGATCCAGCGGTGGCCCAAATCTTACCTGAACCGCGGGCACCGCAGCCACTACCGCGAAGATGGAGTCGAGAAAGAGGAAGGAGCAAGGGCGCGCACGTCCTCACCGCCTGCTGCGTGCCACGTCACTGCTGGGCGACCGCTGGAGCCTTTGGTGTTTGTACCGCCCACGGCAGTCCTAGCTCCGCCTCTTTACGCTTTGCGCAGGCGTTCTTTCGGTCCCGGGCGCGCCCAGGAAGGGGCGGGATCTGGCCGGTTGTACGCGCAGAAGGCCCGTGTACGGGAACAGTTCAAGATGGCAGCGGCCATGTTCCGGGCTACGCTGAGAGGGTGGAGAACCGGCGTCCAGCCGGGCTGCGGGCTACGGCGGCTGGTGAGAACGCTGAGCCTGGAGGTGTGGGAGGAGGGCTGCGTTGAATCTCATTGTCATTCCTGTAACCCTGGAGCTCAGATACGAGATAGAAACGAGGTTCAAGGCCTGCAGGGCGCCTCGGTGTGTGGGGCTTAGAACCTGATTGGTGGATAACTTGGGTTAGTCAGAACTGGGAGGGGCTGCACATCCGACTTCTGCCGATTTTTTAAAAGGGATACCGTTCGACAAGGTAGGGGGTCGGCCCCAGATCGTTGGTGACACGAATGGGAACCTAGAGTTCATGATATACAGGTCCCTTCATTCTGCTTCCCTCTTCTCGTAACCCCGGGGCCTATCAGGACTCCAGGGTATCTGTTGGGAGAAGTGTCCAAGAAGGATCTTTAGGCTGGAGGATGGGAGGACAGATTGCAGAGAGTTACTCTAGGTAGATTGTTTATTATTGTCTTAATTTTTCTCAGATGGGAAAAGGGGGTAATAAAATACCTAACCTGTGTCATTGTAAGAATTAAGTCAAAACAATACCCGTAATACATTTAGTCCAGTGCCTGGCGGTGTTTATATGAGGCCAAATGTTCCAGGTAAGCGAGGGTCACATCGGATGATGTGAGTGGATTATCACGATTGCTGAAAGTGCCTAATCCAGAACTACAATATTTCAATAGAATGTTTAGAGGAAACTTTAAAATACTGAAAAAGACTATGTCAGTCAGACAGTAAATTGACTTTGGCTTTTAAGTCCCACAGAAATCCCAAGAGATGGGAGCCCTTCAGAGTGCCTGAATTGCTTTTCCAGACTCACCTCTACCCTGGCAAACTGAAGTCTGGGGCTTTCGTATCTCCAGGCTTTTATTTAGCCATTCTTTGCACCTGTGGTGTTTCCTTTTTTTACTTAAGTTCTGCCTCTCCTTTGTTGGGTGGGGTGTGTAGTGGGTGGGCTGATGGGAACTGTGGTTGTTTGTTTTTGTTTTTGGCCTCAGAGTCAGACCCAGGAGCCTCCTGATTACCCCAGCTTTGTGGAGTCTGTGGATGAATACCAGTTTGTCGAGCGCCTGTTACCCCCTACCGGCATCCCAAAGCCCCCAAAGCATGAACACTATCCCACTCCCAGTGGTTGGCAGCCACCCAGAGGTGAGCTGGGCGATGGGGATGGCTTGAGGTTTACAGAGGGAAATCTCCCTCTCCCTAGTGGTCTACCTCCCCAGTTGAGGCTCTGGATTCCCCAGTGGGCTCAGGACTTGTGTGGAGGTCTGTCAGGGCTTAGCATCTGTCTCATGTTCAAGGAAGGGCCTGGGAATGCAGCCCTGTTTTACTGGTACCCATCCATCCACACTGTTGGGATGAGGTCTTCCCATTCAGGAAAAGTGAAGCATAGAAGACCTAAGAGCTGGGACCCCCACTCCCACCCGAGTAAGTCTTGTACCATAATTGAGAGCACAGCTTCGTAGTTGGGCAGTTCTGGGTTCCAATTTGGCTCTGCTGTTCGTTGCCAGTGTGATCATGAGTTAGTCACTTAGCTTCTCCCATCTTCAGTTTCAGCAAAATGGAGATAATCTGCTCAGTACATAAAGCACTCAGCACAGAGCCCAGCATGTGGTAGGTAGGTGTTCAGTGCTGTAAATCCCCATTTCTTTGCGCCAGAGGTTGATATTAGCCTCCCTGACCCAGGGGAGAAGTGCAGGATTCGCCCCAGATCGGGACCTAAAGATCCAGGGAGGCATGGCCCTAACATCATTTCTTCTTGAGCACCTTCTGCTGCCAGGCCCTGTGCTGGGCCTGTGAGGTTACCAGGTCAAACCAGCTGGTCCTGGCTTAAATTTAGGGAAAGAGCAGGTCTTCTGACCTGAAATCTAGAGGTGGCTTTACCATTGGGTGCACTGAGTCTCTGTAGACTGTGAGGGGAAGGGCATCGGCTAAGGTGGCATAAAGCCTGGGGAGATTTGGCTTCTCACCATTCTTCCACGTAACAGACCCCCCACCCAACCTGCCCTACTTTGTGCGGCGCTCTCGAATGCACAACATCCCTGTCTACAAGGACATCACACATGGCAACCGCCAGATGACTGTGATCCGAAAGGTGGAGGGGGATATCTGGGTAAGTGAGGGCATGGGTCAGGGGCTGATTCTAACCCTTTCAGGGCTGAAGGGATGGGAGTCTACTAGAGGGGATGGTCTGACCAGGCTTGATTTATCATCGTCCCCCTCTCCCTCCCCAGGCCCTGCAGAAGGATGTGGAAGATTTTCTGAGTCCACTGTTGGGGAAGACACCTGTCACCCAGATCAATGAGGTGACAGGTACCCTGCGGGTCAAGGGCTACTTTGACCAGCAGCTCAAAGCCTGGCTCTTGGAGAAGGGCTTCTGAGGCCCAGCTGAGCAGGCTGCATGATAGCATCCCCCACAGACTAGAGTCCAGGGGGTCTCGGGAGGATGGAGGTGGCTGTTGGAGCAACTGGGACAGGAGGTATAAATGCCAGGGCTAAGAGCTTGGGCAGGGCAGAGTCAGGGCTAAAGGGCTTCAGAGCAGGCCTCGCTCACATTAAGGGGGAAACGGGACCCTCTCCACAGGTGCCAGCAGTGGGGGAGGGCTGCCTGACAGTGGAGACCCTGCCTTCATTGGAGCTTATTGGGCTCAGCTGTTCAAATTCTGGAGGTTGTTGACTGGTGAAAGTAATAGCCCAGCCCAGTTTAGGGGAGGGTAGCACAGGGCAAACCCACTGAGTACATTTCTTCCTTGGCCCTCAGACCCTCACTGCTGCAGACATTCTTAAGCCCTTGCTCCAGGCCTGTGGAGAACCCAGAGGACTCAGGCCTGGGTCCCCGAGATCTTCAGTTCCAAGTGCAGGCATAGAAGGTCCATGTCAGCCCCTGGGCTCATTTCTTTTACCCATGGAGAAGTAGAAGGCCCAGTCACCTTGGCTCCATTGTAGGGACAATTGGGTCTGACTACATTTCTAGCTCTAAGAAGCTAAAGTGATTAGCTTGAGCTGGTCTTTCCACAAGGGGGTGCTCGGGAGCTCCCAGCAGTCCAGCACAGCCAGCCTTCCTTCCCAGCTTGCTGGCCTGGTATCAAGGCTGGACGGGAGCTTTGCAGGAAGAAAGGTGTTGGCCTTTTGTCCCTGCCATCCGGTCCCACCCCCAGCCAATGAACCTTCACACTTGCCCAATTCTTGGGAGTTACAAAGGTCAGAGGCCTGAGTTCCCAGCCTCATCCCACCCTCCAACTAGTTAGGGACAGGGTTCAAAGCCTGGCTCCCCTACTTGTCCTCTGACCTAAGGCAGGGAACCTAACCTTTCTGGGGCTCAGTTTCTTCGTATGGAAAATGGGGATATCTTCATAATAATTTAATGACTTGTCTAAAGAAACCCACACCCCTGGGGATTCTCAAGTCGACAGCGTGAGCAAGAAAAAGAAGCCTGGCACACGGATCCTGTGACACCAGCTCCACCAGTCATTAATGCGAGTCTTTATTTGGCTGTATATACAATTTAAGCTATTAAAATTTGTACAATATTTACAAATTAAATAATCACCTGAAACTGTCTCCAGCAACTCTTGTAACACAGAACCGAGGGAAAAAAAGATGGGGGCAGGCAGGCCTCGGCTCCTGTGGTCCCTACCTGGCCCAGTGCCTTTTCTAAACTGGAAAGACCAGGAGCCTGACATTCTTGCTCCTCTTTCCTAGGGTCAAGCACTCAAGTTCAAAGACAAAATTTAAGCCAAAAGACAACAGCAAGGAAGTAGTTCCAATTCTTCTAAACTCAAGAGAAGTTCTGTAAGTTGAGAAGTGGCCTTCCCCAGATTCTGGGGCTTGCAGTGGTTCAGGAGCAGACACACGAGCCCTCAGCCTGGCGTAAGGCTGGGCAGTGGTTGCTGGGTGAGACTAGGAACGGTCTCACTTGATAGACAAACTGCAGGGAGAGGGGGACCTGAGGGGAGGGGCAGGGCACCTTGTGCTGCCCCCCTGCTCCTCCACCCCCAGGCACTCCTTTCCCTGAGCTGTGCGATTGCCAATAAGACGTGGAAACACCACAGGGCCTAAGGGACACAGCCACCATCACAGAGGATTCTAGGGAGTTTAGGGTAAGAAGAGGGACAGCAGTACCAGTCTTGGTGGGTGGCCCAGGGAGCAAGTTCCTGGCCTGCCTCCAGCCCCTTAAGTTCACACATGGGATTGGGGAGCTAATACTGTTTAGCACTGAAGCGATTTCACTCACACACACACAAGTGGGGCCTGGAGGGGCTGCCCCTTCTCCCGGAAACTGCGCCTCCTGCCTTCACGGCCCCAGCGGAACAGGCTGAAGGGTGGGAGAGAAAGGCTGGAACAGACCCGAGATCCCCAAGGCTGCCCGGGTCGGAAGGGCTGGGGTCAACTGGGGCCTCAGGCGTCTTTCCACTTGGCCTAGGGGATGCCTCCTCCTTTGTCTCAGAGCTGGGGGTCGTTACTCCCTGGTGCACATAGACAGGGAGCGGGCACTTGGTGGCAGGATGTGTTACAGCAAGGGCTGCTCAAGAGAGTGGAGGCAGGGGTAGGACTGGGGTAGTGTCAGTGGGCGACGGGGGACTCCAACTTTTGCAGGCGGCGGCGACGGAGCTCTGCTGCATCGGGCTCCCCATCCTCAGGCAGCTCCTCCGTGCCAACTGACTCAGGAGCTGGGGACAGAGTTCAGAAGTGGAACCGAGAGAAGTTCCTTCCCCACTCCCCGCCTCCCCCCAGGCTGACCGAGACTACCTGGAGGCTTTTCAGGCTCAGGGGCTGGTGGGGAGACTCCTGGGGATGGGGTGGTGGTCTCAGAGGTGGGGATGCTGGTGGGGGGGGCAGCAGGGACAACTGCAGGGG